ACGAATCTACTTATTTTCTGATACTGATATTTGAATTTTCCGCGTTTTGGGCAAAAGGCGAAGCTTAATATGAGGTGAATTCTTTTTAGTTAAAGTTCTTGCACAGTTCATCTTTATTTCTTTTTTCTTTCTTTCTTCTCGACAGAGAAAAAGAGAAAGGATGAATCGTGCAAGAAGTTCAGCTAAAAAGAACAGGCCTATTATATAGAATGTTCATTACACTTGTTTCAAGAGTAAAAGGAGCGGGGACTAACAGTCCAGGTTCGCGGTGTAAGAATATATTTATAAATATTTATAATTAATATTTATAAATCGTAAGGAGATCCACCACTCTCTCATATGTAGTCCCATATCAGTTAGGCAATTAGATGATTTAATTTGTATCGTCGTCTTTTTATTAATTCGATACTGAAGATGGCTAAAATATTAGCTAAAATGCTATGTACCATACACACACACACACACACACACACACACACACACACACACACGCGCGCGCGCGCGCGCGCGCGCGCGTATATTTGTGATATTGGATTTATGAAATAATAGCGCAATTACTACAGCGCCAATTCCCATTAATCCATTGTCTGTTATTTATTTACATTTGTAAATGTAAATAAATAAATATACACAATAAAGATAAAAACATACTTTTATAATTATTTAATGAATTTTGAAAGCATTAAAATTGATTACAAGCATATTTAGGATTTTTTTTTGGAAAGGATTTTTATCAAATCTTTTCTTCTTTTATCACATGAATAGCAATTTCGGTAAAAATCCTCCCTGATTAGGGTATCCAGCCCTAATGATCTTGACTTTGACATATATTGTCAAGGTTATGACCCTGACAGGTCGTCACCTCCAACAGGTTTTAGTCATCGTTCGTTATTCGTTAAAAAGTTATTAACAGTCAAAGTTAATTATTTCTCTGCTTTACATGAAGAGTCAGATAACTTCAGACAAAAAGAAAGGTATAAGGTGGACGAATTCAAGAAATATAACTTTTCACGTAAAATGACTTTCATCCTACCTTCTACCCTGAGCTGAGGGGCGCGCTACATACATAGTGTGCTGAGTTTGGGTTTGTAGGATCGTTAATTATAGCCCAAATGAAATTTTGCAGGTCAGTTGTCTCTGTGGATTATCATATATTATATCATTTTACTTTTTGGCACGAGAATATTTGGAACGTTTCGAATTTCGTACAAACAAAATATTATTTTCTTTACGCGATAAAGCAGATGCTATAGCCATCTATTAGGAGGACAGAAAGTTGCTGGCAGCAGCCAGATATACATTGCTGTATTTGACGGCATTTATCATTCGATAGGAGCTCCAATTATCTTATCTACAAATTTCTATAAATTAAATATGAGTTAATGTGCTAAGAATC